TAAAACATTTTCATTAAGAATTCCATTGAAAGCATTAAAACCATTAATATATTATATTATAAATTTACTTTATTTGTACAATTTTAGTGCTTCACTGAAACTGAATTGACTCGTAAGTCAAATAAATGCATTTAATCAATTACTTGAAAGTTTATTTTAAATAAAACTTAGGGTCGTATTTCAAATGATGTTTTAATTGTCAATTTGTCAAAAATAAATTTTAAGAAAAAAGTTAACAAATAATGAACAGTGAGTGTATAATTAACACAAATAGCTGTCAAAATAAGTGAAGTGCACTCATATTAATAGAATCGAAAGCAAAGTACAGAATATTCGGAGAAAATGTAGAGAATTGCGAAATTTGTGCGAAAATAGATTAAAGAGTTTGTGAATCAATAAGTGATTTATTAGTGTTTTGTGTGAAGTTTACATCAAACAGAAGAACACTTGAGTTTATTAGATATGTTTATAAGAATCATATATTATATGAACTCCAGAGGGATATCACAAATAACTTAATGTCAATAAAGTCATATGATGGTGAAATTATGTTTGAATTTGTGGTGCAAATAATTTACTTAGTTATTATTGACATAGTGTAATAATAATGATAATGAATATTAATAACAAAAACTGTTCAAGTATATGTTTTTTGTAGGACAATAATTAAAAATGATTAATAGTTACTTGCTTAGGTTACAGGAAGTAAAATACAATATTTAAAAATATCATTTATAGCAAAATAAATTTTCTTTAATATGACTTATTTTTTCAAAATTTGTAAAAGATTTATAATGTTTTGAAAGATAATGTGAATTCGTGGCTATACGTTAATGTGCTAAAGTTTAGCAGAATATACTAAAAATAATTTACAACTTTTATGAATTTTCTGTTAAAACAATTAAATTCCTCGCCTTTAATGGCTTCACTGTATTCTGTAGTCATATCTTACTTAAAATCGTTACTCACTAAAAAATGTAATGAAAAATTTTAAACATTTTATTTAATTCACTACTGCACAGAAATAAAATGTTAATTAAAGATAATTTTATATAATATTTTTAGCACTTTATTTTCTGTCTTTATTTCTTAAATAATTTGCAAAATATTCAATATTTTTCTAATTTAATAAATGTTTAGACATGTCATCAATCGGTTGGAGATCTCCTAAAGAGTGATATAATAATGTTTTGTTTTAAGATTTCTGTCAATTAAACATTTAAATAAAGTGAAAGCACTCCATGTATTATATAGACCGAGTAAATGTTCCCATTTATGAGTCTTATCTATCTTTCTGTCAGTTTTAAATACTATTTTTAAATCATATGTATTCAGGGAAAAATAGATATATTGATATCACAAATTCAAGTAAGAATTGAAAATATTCTTGTCTTAAAGTTCAATATATCAAATATTTAATTAATTTTATATCTACAGAATATTCTTTAATGATTTGTTTACAACTATTTAGCGTAAGTTATTATTATTTTTTGTTGAGCCAAAAATTTAAGTTAAATAAAATCCATATTATTAGTATTATTATATTAGTATAATAGGATTATTTATATTATAGATTCTATAATGTGCTATAACGATGATTATAAATACAAATGCTAATAAATTCTATGTATAAGATAATAAAATTTAATTAACAGTTAACATTAAGCTAAACACTCATTACTTATTCCTAAATTAAGAATCAAGGTAAAATACTTCAAATATAATACCGAATATTCATTCTTATCTCGATCCCAAGTTTGCCATTATATTGTGAAATTAACTAGATAATTAAAATTAATGAACTCTATCATAATAGTCTGTTAAAAATGCAGATTCTTGTAAATTAGAATTTCTATTTAAACATTAAATCAAATTGTTATTACAGTATAGCAACTTATCACTAATTATTCATTAAAAGATGAATCAATGTAATGGTAATTTTTAAATTAAAAATGGCAATTAAAAAATTTAATTAACTTATATAGCATATTTCATTTTTGTACTGTTATTTTTCTATACACTATACTTATAATTATAAGTTATAATAATGATTACCGTAAATTCTGTCAGATATATGATAAATTAAAAAGCACTTATATCTGAGCAGATAAAACTTTCAAGTTACATTAAAATAATGATACAGTAAATTTAATAAAATTACGATTTATTTTCATTTATTTTATAATAAACTGTATTTATTTTATTTAAAGATATAGTCGACAACTAATATGTAATAATTGAGTAGAAAATCACTTCAAAACACATTTCACATGATTTTGAATTGCAGTGAAATTATGAAAGATTATGAAAATATGACAAAATAATAGAAAGATTACATTAAATTCAATGTTATTTAATAACCTAATAATCAGAACTATATGTATTCGTAGACTACATTCCAAATCCTCCCATTCCACCCATGCCTCCCATTCCTGCAGCGCCTGCACCCAAATCTTTCTCCTCTTTGGGCAATTCGACGACAACTGCTTCGGCGGTTGTCAACAGAGAGGCCACTCCGGCGGCATCCATGAGGGCAGTCCGAACAACTTTGGTCGGGTCTATAATCCCGGCCTCTATTAGATTGCAGTACTTATTGAGTAAAGCGTCGAAACCGAAGTTCACTTCTTTTGATTCCAACACTTTCGAGACGACCACCGATGCGTCCAAACCAGCGTTCAGTGCGATCTGCATGCATGGCATACGCAACGCCTTCCGGATCAGATCAATGCCTGAGACAACACCACAACAATCACATCAACAGTTCATTAGAGACGTATCACAGATATACGAACCGGCCTTTTGGTCGTCATTCTCTGGTTTGAGTTCATCGAGACATGGAATGGTCCTCAAGAGAGCAGTTCCACCGCCGGGAACAATGCCCTCCTCGACGGCAGCGCGGGTTGCGTTGAGGGCGTCGTTCACTCGATCTTTCTTCTCATTGACCTCCACTTCACTACTGCCGCCGACCTTCAGAACGGCCACACCATTGGCCAGTCGTGCCATCCTTTCCGCCAACTTTTCCTTCTCGTACTCAGAATTTGATAAATCGATCTCATCTTTGAGTTGATTCACTCGTCTGTCGATGTCTTCCTTCAAACCCTTTCCCTAAAATGCAAACACTTTTAATAAATAAAACAAAATTAAAATTCAATAAAAACTAACTCTTAGTAAAAGTGTGTCGTCTTTAGTGATGACAATCTCTCCGATTTGTCCCAAATCTGATGGTTGGATGTCTTCGATCTTAAGTAAGTTCGCTTCGTCTCCAAACACTTGTCCTCCGGTGGCAATAGCCATGTCATGGAGTGTTGCCTTTCGGTTGTCTCCAAAGCCCGGGGCTTTCACGGCTGCAATTTGGAGCCCAATCTTGAGTCTATTGAGCACTAAAGTGGTCAGTGCTTCGCCGTCAACGTCTTCAGCGATTATGACTAAAGGTCTTCTCTGTTGGTTCGCTATTTCGAGCGCAGGTATTATGGATTGGGCCGAAGATATCTTCTTTTCAGTGATGAGAAGCAAAGCGTCGTTGAACTCAACTTTGGCTCCTTTTGTAGTGTTTATAAAATAGGGGGAAATGTATCCCCTGTCGAACTTCATGCCTTCAATCACTTCCAACTCGTCGGTCAGAGTCTTGCCGTCCTTCACAGTTATCACTCCTTCACGTCCGACCCGTTTCATCGCCGATGATATGAGTTCGCCGATAGCTTTGTCTCCATTGGCAGAAATGGTGGCCACTTGTGCTATCTCTTCGGGAGTGGTCACAGGTCTCGACAACTCCTTCAACTTCTCGACCACTCTATCGACGGCTAACATCACTCCTCGTCTCGTTTCGATGGGATTCGCGCCTTTGGATATCCTCTCGAAGCCCTCTTTGGCGATGGCTCTGGCGAGGACTGTGGCAGTGGTGGTGCCGTCACCGGCCTCCTCGTTGGTGTTGTTGGCCACGTCCTGAACCAGTTTAGCGCCGATGTTCTGGAACTTGTCCTTCAGTTCGATGGCTTTGGCGACAGTGACGCCGTCTTTGGTGATCTTCGGCGACCCCCACGACTGCTCAATGATAACGTTGCGTCCCTTCGGACCCATAGTGACGGCCACGGCGTCGGCCAACACGTCCACACCGACCAACATCTGTGCCCTCACGTCGGCGCCAAACTTTATGTCTTTGGCGTAGTTTCGCAACTGATGTCCATTTGATGACAATCGACGCGAAACTGTTGTCCGAAGTATTGATGATATTCTATACATCTCTCGACTTTACGTATAAATTCAGATCAAAAATAATCATTAGTTTTGAAATTATATTGATTTTAATTAACAATTAATTCAATAGACATTTAACTCAAAGCACGT